GGTGACTTTTGTCTTCATGTTTAAAACTGAATTTATAATCAATATTTTGCAAACGTTAAATTCCAGCTCCCTAAATCGACTTGCCCCCAAAATCGCTTCAAGCCAAAAATATTTTTGACGTGTCCATTCTTGTAGCATGGCGGTGTGTAACAGCTAAACTTGAAATCATAAATCGCCCGTGGCCAAGGAATATCCTTGCGAAATTTTAGTTGCCTATCTTGTCTGGTTCCGAATTTTCCCACCAAAGCTTGTTCAGTTTTTCTTACAGACGTCCATATTTGAGAATAATCATACGTGAAGTTGTTTTATGTTTGAGGGACTGCACATAGTCTGAAACTAGCCTCGCAAATTTTCAGCCTCCTATCTTGTTTGTTGTCCTTGTGCATTCCCATAATCACAAAATGAACCTTCAACGAATTGCCGTTTTGAGCGTGCGGAAACATCGAAGTTCCTCTTTCAAAACAATCGTCATCCTTCTCTTACGGTAATCAACACATTCTATAAACTTGAAACTCCACGAGGCCCACTGTGCAACACCACAAGCTCAGCCTGGGACTATTTCTGCCCACTCCATCGTCTCACACGGAAGAAGAATCCGGGAGAGACCTCGCAAATTTAAATTTGAAATATTTCCTGCCCATGTGTGACCTCGCAAATTTAAATTTGACCTTCGTATGCGCAAGGTTTAAAGTATGGATACTTGAAATTCTTAATGCAAATCGAGATCAGACAACATTTCAACGATTTTTGGGCATATCATTAACAAACGTCTTTTGAACAAAAATGCGCCAGAACCGATGATCACGCTAATTACTCAAGTGTGCGCCACTATTTATGTCCGCACGCTGACTCTGACTGATGGCCAAGATGTCAAGGCTGATATTCTCAAGCTTTCTGAGCAAAATATCCGCTAATTGGGCATTGTTGTATGTCTTGATGATAAGTGTTCTAAATTTATAAATGCATAGGTCAGATGACCATGCCCAATTCGAGTTACTGCTGTGACCGGTGCTGCACCCGTGGTTGGCCTACTACCGACCTTGGCGCTCATTAAACCTTTTGATTTCCATATTTTCTCCTCCTTTTGGAAGAGAGAGAAAGAATTCAAATCATTGGCGACGCGCACTGGGCGGGCCCATGCGATCGTGCGTTTTTGCAGTGTTTCGAGCTAATAATAAGATCACTCAAAATTCCGCTAGCTAGAAACCTCTGATATACTGATCCTCGAATTTCGGGAAGTCAATTGTCCACGCTATACCTGGGCAGGGAACATTCTCCTGAAATCTCAGGTTTCCAGCTTTCTCAGTTCCCGAGTTACCCACATTCTAGCCACAAAATTTCACGGGGCCGTACCTGGCAACAACGCATGACTGGTGATTGGATTTGATAAATTCAAGTAGTAGATAAGCTAGGAACATTTTCTGAAAGTTTCAGCCTCCCAGCTTTTCTGATTCCGGAGTTATCCATTTTTCCGCCAAAAATTTTCGCAGGGCCGCACATGATAACCACGCATAACGAGGGGTTGAATTTGATAAATTTAAGTTGTAGATGAACTGGGAAAATTCGAGGAAAGTTTCAGCCCACCAGCTCTCTTGGTTCTCGAGCTAGCGATTTTCGCGCCAGCAACCCTCACACGGGGCCGTACGCGGGAAACGAGCACGCCTGGAGGCTGAATTTAAAATCTTTGAATTCTATATAGACGAGGAACATAATCTCAAAATTTCAGCTTTTCAGATTTCCAAGTTGGCGATTTTTCCGCCAAGACTTTGAGGCGCTCGTACTCGGGGCCTAGATGTGCGTGAGGATTGGTACCGCGGTTCTGAAGTGGCTCTTAACCGGGAACCCACTCGCAAAATTTTGGCGCCGGCGCTTGCTTGGGTGCCGAGTCGAAATATCCGGACACACACACACACACCCACCCGGTGTAGTCGCAGTATTTGCATATGTGCAAAAACGCATAAACACAAACTCCTTCGACGCATTTAGATGAGTGTGCATCATTACTCATTCAAAAGTTTGACTATACCCTCGATATTTCAGCTGAAAAATGTCCAGAAGAAATGGCAGTACGTAGAACAAAGTACGGCACTGCTACGTGAAACAGTCGCGCAACGGAAAGCCGAAACGAATTACCAGGATTTCAAGGATGAGGTAATTTTGAAGAAACTGACTTGAGTAAACTGGCCACTCCAAATCTTTGCCTTAATCTTTCATTATTTTGTTCATTTCATTTTACCTGTCCGATCGTTTATTCGTTGATTTGCTTGCATAACTGCACGTCTCTTGAAAAGGCGTTAGAGTTGCTTCAGTTGAAATACAATTTTGGTAAACAGGAATGTTCATCTCTAAATTATTTTATATTTATTTCGTTTTCTTCTGGACCATAATTCAGATATATCTCATTTAGAAGCATTTGAGATCACAATCGTCGTACTGATGAGGCCCGGTCGTAGTAATTAACAGGAATGTATAAGACTTTAAAGACTAGAACAGCCCTGCTTAGCTGTTTAATTTTATGCTATTTTCATTTATT